TATGAGCACCTTTTGTACTGATGAATCATCGTTGTCTCAATATAAACAAGAGGTTGGATGTGCTTCCTGTAATTACTAAAATATAAGTTTGCGAGAGTTCAAGTTTATATCGTTTTCCCAGGACGGACGTAACTAAGTAAAAATTGGTGAAAACAAACAGAGGATATCTTTTACATTTTTATTTTCATATTTACACTTTACTTCTGATATTTTCTTACATTATGTAGAAAATGGGAGAGAAATCTATCAAGCCAAAAAGAGGTCCTTCTTCTCTAATGCAATGCAGTCGGAAACCGCGCGTTTTATATACAACTGTATCAGAAAGGCTCACCTAGATGCATGCACGAGAAACAAACGTCCACTCTTAAAGAGTCCAGACGAGCTATAGAAATGTTAACGTCAAAAAAGAACGTTTTTCTTAAGTGTACTTTTTTACTCAAAAAGGACATCATGTCCTATGACTTATTAGGTGTGGTTTGTAGGCTGTATGTCCGCTCTGCGGCGACAGGGACAGAGAGGAAGATATTTCTAATTGTTTGTTCTGTTTCAAGTCCTTCCAAATGCCATGAAACCTTATTCAAATTCATTAAAACGAACATACGTAATGAAATGTTTATAAACTAGGGTGGGAATGCCCTTCATGTTCAGGAAAGGTCTTTAGATGAAGGAATGTTGAAAGGATGAAGGCAGGGCCATCAGACCATGAGAGGGGTGGGGGTGGGGAAAGGGACGGGGATGAGGATGGGGAGATGGGGCGCCTACTCATCCATGGCGGTGACATGCACGACGGCCTGCGAGTCGGCGATGGTGGTGATGTGACTGTCGTCGGGAGCGGCACGCACCTGCTGTAGGATGGATTGGAGCAATTTCGGGTCCATGTCGTGCGTTGACACTACCTGTGGTCCAGCCAACAGGTACTCCTTGAGGCCCTCTGGATGCACCTCCACCACCGAGTACGCTGCCTGTGGCACGTCCGCTCGTAGAAGGTCCGGGTCCATGGCAATGGCCACATGCTCAGCCTCCTCCACACCCCCCTGGTGGCCGGCGCCGTCCATGCCCGCCTCCTGCACGCCCGACAGCATCGAGCCATCCATCTCCTCTACACCTTCCATGGTCTCCATGCCCTCCATGTTTTCGACCGCTTCTGCGTTCTCCATGGAATTCATGGCCTCGATCTGTGACGCATCCACGATGTCGTGGGTCTTGGCCAGGTGCTTGACCAGGTTGATGCGCTGCGTGTAGCCGCGCTGGCAGATGCTGCACTTGTATGGGTGTGAGCCTGTGTGCAATGTGACGTGGCGTTCAAGCTGTAGCTGCGTGGAGAAACCTTTGCGACACACAGAGCACAAGAATGGGTACTCGCCCGTGTGCCGCATCTTGTGATTGAGCAGATTGACCTTGCTGCGGAACGGCTTGCAGCACACGTCGCACTGGAACCGCCGCTCACCCGTATGTTTGATCTTGTGGACAGCCACCTCAAACTTCTGAGCAAAGCGCTTGCCACACACATCGCACGCATGCGGCTTCACTTCACGGTGGCGGTACTTGTGCTTCGTTAGGTACTGCTTCTTGGCGAAGGACTTGCCACAGTCGTCACAGCGGAAGGGCTTCTCAACGATCCTCTCCTCCTCCTCATGATCCTCCATCTTCTCCTGCACCATGATGACCTCAGGTTGCGGCTGATGCTCCGGGTCCGGCTGCTCGGGCTCTGGATCAGGTGCTTCGGCCAGCTCCGAGTAGGGCGTGTTTGCAGTCTCCGGGAACACCAGCAGCGGCTGCGACCCATCAACCAGGAACTGCTGCTGGTTGTTGTCCACCAGCAGCTGCTGCGTGGAGTCCATCGCCTCACCCACCTCACCCACTGTCTCGAACACGTAAAGATGGTGCGAGTTATCTGTGCTGGTGACCCCCTCCACACCGGGGTTCATCATCATCATCCCCTGCATGTGGGTGGCCTTGTGCTGGTTTAAAAGGTCTGTGCTGTAGAAGGTCTCATCACATACATCACAACGCAACACGTCTTGCGTTGTGTGCGTCCGCGTGTGGCGCTTCTGGTTGGACGAACTGCGGAACTCCTTGTCGCACAGGGGGCACTTGAAGGGCATTTGGCCTGTGTGGATGAGATTGTGGTTCTTAAGTGCCAAGCGGGAGGCTAGCTGCTTCCCACACACATTACATGGGAAGTTCCTCTGGCGAGAATGTACATTGTGATGTGTGTACAAGTATTTCTTCTTATCAAACACTCGTCCACAGATCTCACACATATACAAGTGAGCTTCCACATTACCATCTGCTTCTAAGCCCATTCCAGTGTTGGAGTACTGGGGTCTCAGGTGATGGATTTGTCTGTGCTTAGTCAGGTGGTGCTCGCGGCGGAATTTGTGGCTGCACATGTCACACTTAAACATCTCCTCACGAATGTGGTCCCGCATGTGCTGGTTGAGGCTACTGTTGTTGATGAAGGTCTTGCCACAGTTACCGCACTTGAAGGGTCTCTCTCCAGTATGGATCCTCATATGGATCTTGACAGACTCAGCATTGGCAAAGTACTTTCCACATGTATTGCACTGGAAGGGCTTCTCCCCACTGTGCATTCTCTTATGTTTCAGCAAGCGGCCACTCTGAGAACACCTGTAATCACACTGATCACACTTGTAAGGTTTCTCACCACTATGAATCCGTTTATGAGTGTTGTAGTTCCCACTGGTGGAGAAACTTTTACCACACTCACATTTAAAGGGCTTATCATCAACATGTTTCTTTTTGTGCATAATAAATAATGATCTCTTATGAAAGTTACGTCCACAGACATCACAAGTGAACATGAAAGAATGCATAACTTTATGTCGAATGATATCGCTCTTGTGCACAAAGAGTCTGTTGCACAGTCCACACTTGAGCAGTGGTGTGCCTGAATGGAGGAGTTTATGCCTAACAAAGTGGCTCTTGTGGGCAAAGTCAATCCCACACTCATCACACTTGAGGACAGATGGGAGGGTGCTGCCCCCCATGGCCTCACTCCCCTCCTCTCCCTCTTCAGGAATAAAGGGTAGCTCTGGCCCAGGTCGCAGGGCCTCCCGCAGGTGCACATGTGAGTGGCGAATGAGGGTAAGCTTGGTTGCAAAGGCTTTCTTGCAGATATCACACTTCCAACTTTTGACTCCTTTATGCGTGAGCTTGTGCTTCTGGAGGTACCTTTTCTCACGGAACGTACGGTGGCACACATCACATTTGTAAGAGGCTGAGAGCTTGTGTGACAGCTTGTGCGTAAGTAAGGCGACATAGCTGGGGAAGTTCTTGCCACAGTGCTCACAGCTGTGGCGGACGTTGTCTTCCATTCTTATATCTTCCATCCCTTCTACTCCCTGACCCATGTTTTGGTCAAGCAACTGTTGTTCCTCACCCTCTGGCACCTCAGACAGCCGTGACTTGACCCTCTGACCTGCATCCCCGTGGCTGTCCAAGTGATACATGAGCAGTGCAGGGGTGAAGAAGGTCTTACCACAAATCTCACATTTGTTCTGGTTCTTGAGCCGGTGGGTCCAGAGCTTGTGCCTCACCAAGGCTGCACTCTGGCGGAAACTCTTCAGGCAGATGTCACACTTGAAAGGTCGCTCGCCAGTGTGGACAAGAACGTGCTTATCCAGGGCAGACTTGAGTGGGAAGCTGGCATTGCACAAGTCACACTTGTAGTTCTTCTCTTGTGTGTGGACTCTGTGGTGACGGACCCACTCCTGGTGTTTCTTGAAACTCTTGCCACATATTTGGCACACGTAAGGGAACTCCTCAGTTGGCATGGTGTGGATGATGGACTGCTGTTCTTCCACCAGATGCAGCTGCTTGTGTTGCTCCAACTGCTGCTCTGTGGCACAGCCAACACTACATACATCACAGTAAACCTCCTGTTCACCAGTGTGACAATTTGTATAGTGGTCACAAAGGACATCCACATCAGTAAAGGACTCCTCACAGATTCCACATTTGAAGGGGTTTGTGGGAAATTTGCTCTCCAGTGTTTCTGACTGTTTTGGCTCATCATACAGCTCTGAGGTCTTTGGTGCATAGCCCTCATTCAGTTGCTCCTGAAGCTGTTCAACAATTGAGTTTTCATTCTGGAAGGGCTTCACCTCTGTCTCATCTTCCTCCTTCACCATGACACGATCACCATGGACAGTGCTCATGTGCTTGGTAAGAGTACGCTTGAAGGTGAAGTTGGCTTGGCACACACTGCACTTGAGCTCATCCTCTAAGCCTCCCACAGGATCACTAGATCTCTTGTGGACTTTCCTGTGGCGATTGAGGCCACTGCTCGTCACAAATCCCAGGCTGCAGATATCGCAGATGAAGGGACGATTGGACGTATGGGTTTTCATGTGTGTGTAGAGTGTGTCTCGGTGAGCAAAAGTGCGGCTACACACAGAGCAACGGTACTGATGTGCCTCCTCATGGATGGCCAGATGCTTTTTAAGTTGCGAAGCCTGGGCAAAGGTCTTAGGGCAGTGCTGACACCGATGGGGCCTCTCGCCAGTGTGCGTGAGGACGTGTGTCTTCAGGTGAGACGGGTCCACAAAGCCCTTGCCGCAGTGGTCACAACGGTGGGGGCGCTCCAACCCATGCATCTTGTGGTGGGCCTCCAGTGCCACATGTGAGGTACAAGTCTTACCACACTGGTCGCACTCAAAGGGACGCAGGTTGTGTTTCTGTCTGAGATGCCGGATGTAGTCCCGCTTGAAAGGAATCACCTCACCGCATGCCTCACACTTGTGCCCATCCACACTTACAACATCATCTGAAAGGAAGGAATTTCAATGAAATGGGATAAAAGTAAACTGCCTTTTTGGAGATGCTCTATTCCTTCTACTTATTTACATTACTGATCAATTCCATCATAACTACTAGACAGCAAATGTAATTATTTCAAATCAGGATGATATGAAAAACAAATACAATTGCCTTTCAGTAGTAAATATATATATGCAGTACTCCTGACTTATAACAGTTATGGAATGAAAAATCTAATTTAACTTATATATAAAATACATTTTCAAATATTCCCTTTAAACTCTAAAAATTTTAATTCAACCTCTAATAATGAACATCTAATCAACAGCAACTTTCTAATGCAACCAAAAACAATTCTTGGAAAACTAAGTATCATAAAAATACATGAATAAAATTGGATCTAAGAAAGCATTAGTAGTGAACTTGTAATAAAAAAAATTCTAAACCCATATGAGATATCCAGAGCCTAAGTAGTCATCAAAATAATGATTTGAGTGAACTGCAAACATAACTTAATTACTGGTACCAACCTCAAACTATAGGGGTACCACAAATTAATTCTACAAAACAATATATGTGAATCTGAAATATATGCAAAAAATTGCCTTAATGAAACTACTAAGACAGATTCTGTAATTACTGTTTCTTGCAAAATAAATGCATAATCCTAATAAGGATAACAGAGCCTAATATTGTAGTGACTGGGATGGCCCCACTTTTGAGTAAGTAAATAAAAAAAAGAATTGACTTAAGTAACCATGAGATTCTTCCTGGAAGTTTTTATTTCTATGATCTAATTTTTGTATTTGCTTGAACCATATTCAAAACTATACATCCTACACTAATTTAAGTTTTTGTGGAGCAGATAGTCTCTCTAATAAATTCATATGAATCACAACTGTTTCAAAAGAAGAATATGCGTTTAAACATCATATAAACAGAACATCACAATATAAAACAAAAAAATGATATATTGATATCATATAAACTATAACAGAATATCATATCATACTACAACAGCATCAGATTCTTTTTAATGGTCATCCATTTTTTTTAATTTTCACAAGCATTCAAAAAGGACTCTTTTCCCGGGACCACCCCCACCTTCCAGAATGTATCAACCAAATAGATAAAAATCATGACCTTTATCACAGGATCTCCAGGATCTAAAGGAATGCAGTGACACGGACAGATTCAAGCAGGTAGCCATTATAGGACACCTTACAGTGGCTTATAATCCTGTCTTTCCTCGTGAGAATAAAATTAATGCTAAAAGGTAAATGTGTCCCACTGTCTTTGTATTAGAAATAAAAAAAAATCTCATCTGCCACACATCTCCCATTCTTCATTTCAGCAGCACGATACAAAGGCAATGAGCAGTTGCACATAATTATATCCTGATCATCATTTTTATGACTACACCAGACTACACCCCCCCAGTATACAGTTTGTACACTCATGAAAATGATGAGAAAAAATAATGATTCCAATGCTACTTGACTTCATCATCAAATAATGTACCTTTTGAAAATTGTAATAGACTACTTGAAACTAAACACAAAAATAAAAAACTTAACAACACCAACTTATCAACCAGAACTTTAGCAAGGCTCATTGGAATGTGGCTTTACAAATTGGACTGCAATTGGTACAATGAGGGAAGTAATGCCAGCAGCTCCTTTTCTAGTACTACTGGCAAATTAACTGCAAAACCATGACTACTGCCATAAAACTACTGGCAGTGATAAATTGCTGTACTTTTTATTTATGGCAAGACAGTAACAATATATTCCTATTTTTCTATTTCTGAATTTGTATGTGAAAGACAATTCTAGTCACAGGCTACCAGTAGTACTTCCCAACTCTGATAACTACATCCTATAAATCATAAATTTGAATAAAAATTACTGATATTGTTTGCTCTTACCTGTACCTAGCCCGATGTCTTCTTCAGTCTGCGTTCCCTCTATAAATACAGAGAGAAAACAAATATATAAATATCATTCAAAAATTTAATCAACATTCCATACAATTAAAAACTGATGCAATTTTATTCCATTGTCCCTGAACCTATTTCCCTCTGCACTAAAAAATAGTTGTAAATAAATATGTATGTATGTATGTATGTATGTATGTATGTATGTGTGTGTGTATGTATGAATGTATGTATATGTGTGTATAGAGATGTCTATAAATATGTATGCATGTATATGTGTGTACACAGATGTATATAAATATGTATGTGTATATGTGTATGTGTGTGTGTGTATACACACACACACAAACACGCACACATACACACACAAACACACACACACATACACACACACACACACACACACACACACACACACACACACACACACACACACATATATATATGTATATATATGTGCATGCATGCGTGCGTGCGTACTGGCGTGCATGCGTGCGTGCGTGTGTGTATGTACATATGAATATATGTATATATACAGATGTATATTAATGTGTACATATAATATATACACACATATATATATATGTATAAATCTATATATTCATATATGAACATATGTAAGTTTGAATAAGTTTGTATGTGTATATGCATATTTGTTTGTTTGTTTGTATGTATGTATGTATGTATGTATGTACATATGTGCATATATATACATATATATTATATATCTATCTATACATATATATAAATATATATACATATACATATTGTGTGTATATATATGTATATATATATATATATATATATATATATATATATATATATATATATATATATATATATATATATATATACATATATATATACATATATATATACACATATATATATATAATGCATACACACATATACATACACACACATACACACACACACACACACACACACACATATATATATATATATATATATATATATATATATATATATATATATATATATATATATATGTGTGTGTGTGTGTGTGTGTGTGTGTGTGTGTGTGTGTGTGTGTGTGTGTGTGTGTATGTGTGTGTGTGTGTGTGTGTGTGTGTGTGTGTGTGTGTGTGTGTGTGTGTGTGTGTGTGTGTACATATGAATATATGTATATATACAGATGTATATTTATGTGTAAACATAATATATACACACATACATATATATGTATAAATCTATATATGTATGTATGTATATATGAATATATGTAAGTTTGTATGTGTATATGCGTGTTTGTTTGTATGTATGTATGTATGCATGCATGCATGTATGTATGTATATATGTATATATGTATGTATGTATGTACATATGTGCATATATATACATATATATTATATATCTATCTATACATATGTATATACAACATATAACCATATTTATAAGTACATATACATATACATACATATAAACATATATACATATACATATTGTGTGTATATATATGTATATATATACATATACATATATATAATGCATACACACATGTATATATAATTCATACATACATGTATATATAATGCATACACACATACATACATACATACATACACACACACACACACACACACACACACACACACACACACACACATACACACACACACACACACATACACACACACACACATAAAGAATATATAGAGAATATATAGAGAATATATAATATACATATTATATATATTATATATATTATATTTATTATTTATTATTTATCATGTACTATGTATTATATATTATATATATATACATATACGTACATATACATATACATATACACATATACAAAATAAGCTAAAATTTATATTAATCACACCATATGAAGAGTCCCAACCCCCACCTTTCCTCTCCATCTCCAAACACATTTGAGCACTAAACACAAACCTGTTGTGGTGTGATCATGGAGGTCATGCTGATGGTGTTGATGTTGCTGTTGCTGTTCATGATGATGCTGTTGCAGGGCCGTGGCAGAGGACGACGTGGATGTGGGAGGCGGAGGCAGCATGGTGATGACCATCTCGCCTGTCTCCGGCTTCTGGAAGGTGATGAGGAGGTTGTGTTTTTCTGCCCCCATGAGGTTGGCACTCTTAACCACCATGCTGCTCATCAGGTCACCGGGTGTGACCTCTTCCAGCTGCGTTCCCTCCAGGTCGCTTGTGATCAGCTGCTGGGGCTCAGCTGGCTCCGGTTCCACCTTCACTATTCCCTCGGGTACCGGCCAGTGCTTCCGAGGGCGACCTGTGGGTGATGACATAGGTGAGGTTCCTGTGGCTAATTAATCTATCTAACAGATTCTAATCTTGTCTCTTTCCTGGTGCATCTAAGAAGGAAATGTGGTCTATGATCACATAATTCAACAAGAGAGAGAAAATATGTCCAAACAATAATGTCCCCTGCTTTTTGGCAAAACACATCCATCTCATATTTTCCTTTTATCATTCTTCTTCTTCTCCTCCCCCTTTACCAGCACACCCAAACAAATCAACTCTGACCTCCCCTTCAGAAACCAACTCGAGCACAAAGCCCCACCTCGTTTCCCCGGCCCAGAGGTACCCCTTGGTCTGGGTGCGGGGGCTGGCCTGCGGTACGTCAGATAATCTGGGGAAATGTCCTCCTCCTCGCCCATAGAGAAGTCATCATCATCGTCGTACTCTGGCCTCTTCAGGGCTTGCATCATTTTCTCATACCTAGAATAATCAAAATATAAAATAAAATATAGAAATTTTTATACATAGTCAATGTTGGTCTTACTCTTCGAAAAACCTTATATCTGCTTGATATAAATATGAAACAAAATAGTAAAAAACAAAGGAATTAGAAAAACAGACAAGAAGAGAGGTTTCTCAAAAAAAAAAAATAAATATATATATATTTATAAGCAAAAAGTAGTCTAACTTTTAATACCATAGGAAAAGAATACAAAGACCAAAATAATAATAATAATAATAATAATAACAATAATAATAATAGCAATAATAAGTGACAATAAAAAATAAACAAACACACAAATAAACCAATAAATAAGTAAACAAATATACAAATAAAATAATTATAAAAAAATAACTAAGTAAGACAAGCCAGATTCCAAAACACCGACCGAGCACCCCTCCTCCGAGGTGGCAGCTTCCTCTTATTGGGGTCCACATCCTCCTCCCGTTTAATCTCGACATCAAGTGGCTCTTCCTTCATGGCCCCCATCTCCAGGACTCGGATCTCTTGCAATCCATCACTGCCCTCCACACCTGCGA